TGTATTGAGGGTATGATGTAGCATACAGGGCTGTATTGAGGGGATGATGTAGCATACAGGGATGTATTGAGGGGATGATGTAGCATACAGGGATGTATTGAGGGGATGGTGTAGCATACATGGATGTATTTAGGGGATGATGTAGCTTACAGGGATGTATTGAGGGGATGATGTAGCATACAGGGATGTATTGAGGGGATGATGTAGCTTACAGGGATGTATTGAGGGGATGATGTAGCATACATGGATGTATTTAGGGGATGATGTAGCTTACAGGGATGTATTGAGGGGATGATGTTGCATACAGGGATGTATTGAGGGGATGATGTAGCTTACAGGGATGTATTGAGACTTTAGCATACAGGGCTGAGTAGAGACGAGCATACAGCAATGTATCTGAGGAAAGACTTCAGCAATAGGACCGTGTTAGAGGGAGACCAGCATACAAGGCCGTGCTGATAAAAGCCTTGACGCGTGTTCATAAAAAATGTTTAGGTGCCGTCAATGGGAAACGTCGCCTTCGATGGCCTGAAGCGATGAGAACCTCACCACAGCTCCCCAGCGCCGTCTAAATATCCGTGCCATATCCTTAAAACTTAGTATCGTTATCCGAACCTTCAGCTGCATGAGTGTGAGGAATAATCGATAACTATCGCTAATCCTAACAACTTCTTCTTCGTTCTTAATTTTAGTGTTGGAAGGGACCCCCTCTTGTCCAACCAAGAACAAACTACAAGGCAGTAGTTGTTTGATTGTGGAGTTGTGGCTGTCCCCAGCTAACGAGCCTCATCTGCCCGCGAACTCGAGACTTTTCGGTTTAGCAACCATGAGCTTTACCGACTCGACCACGCCGACCCCTTAGTATAACTAAATGAAGTACAGCAATGTATTATTAACACCATCAGTAGGAATGTTTATTCAATTTTTTAAGAATGTAATTCCGCTATTGTAAGACAGTCGTAGTTTTCCCATGCCTACGTGTTGTGTAGACTGGCTATTCCGCCCATCCTCCGTAACCCAATCTCCCCCCATGAATCAGGCCCGGTAATTAGCTTGTCCCCGTGACCAGATAACAGCAGGTTAACAAACAACAGAGCCCTAGCTCGCCACATCCGCACCTTCCCCCATCACCCATCTTTCCGGATTGTGTTTTCCTAAACGTTACACGCGTATCACAAAGTTCACTGGGAAATACACCAATAAGTAAATATTTACATAGTAGACTAGCTCAACACATTATCACTTCCTTCTGGTGTATAGTTATTTGTTGATTACACATTACATAAAGGACACATTCTTGTATTATCTTTTGTTTGCTAAGGGAAAAAAATTGGGATTTCCCGAAATCTGTTCGTCACCTTACGGTATATACAGCCTAACATTTTTGTTAGCACTGTATGAACTGTGTTTGGTTTTTTTTTTACGCCACTGTTTTCTATTTCCTCGAGAGTCCTGTATGTGTCATCTACAGACACCACATAGGCCCACAGCTGAGGTTTTATCGTCAACCTTCTATATTTTCTTAATATAAAAAATCAGAACACCTTTTTTTATGAATACGGAACGTAAAAATAAGATTCAATGTAGCATTGTACGGTAGCTCATGAATATACGTGACTGTCTAAGTATAAAACATCTGAGCCGTATTAATCTTTTCAATGGCCTCCGGCTGTAGTTTTAAATAAAATTATAGTAAGGAATTTTTTTAAAAGTACATTCTAAACAATTTAACGTATTTAATTTTTACTGTATTGTTTATTGGCGAATCGAATGTAGACGGTATACATTCAATAGGAACAATAACTCTAACGTCAATCTCTGACACATCAACAGCCGAGCTTATGGGGGGGGGGGGCGCTGCCCCATGCTGGACAGATAGAGTGACCTTTGTAAGGAAGCATCATTTCCTGATTGTGTTTTTACACGACAAAGAAAGCAGAATTTCAAGTACACATGTTGAAAATAACACGACCTCCCTCACTCCCCCCCCCCCCCCCCGCCGCACACACACACAATTTTGCTTTTTGAATGGCAAAATGTTTTTTGTTTGTTTTATTATCTAGAAGAAAGCAAATGTTTAAAGATGAGTACAATTTTTAAGACGACAGTTTTCAAATGTATTAGTATTGTCTCTTGCGCCTATTTTGACAAGGAGAAAATGTTCGTGCCTCCACACCCAAACACCCCCACCTCATAAACTTTAATATAGGTATAGTCGATATGGTTTGTTAATTTGTACACAATTGTGACGTGTCATGAACGAAATTACTACTGGTAGTTATTTGGATACGGTAATGTAACCATTTAAATGGTACCTACCCTTAATATTTCTAATGTAACAATTTTAACGGTAACTACCCTTAATCTTTCTAGTGTAACTATTTTAACAGTACCTACCCTTAATATTTCTAATGTAACTATTTTAACGGTACCTACCCTTAATATTTCTAATGTAACTATTTTAACAGTACCTACCCTTAATATTTCTAATGTAACTATTTTAACGGTACCTTCCCTTAATATTTCTAGTGTAACTATTTTAACAGTACCTACCCTTAATATTTCTAATGTAACTATTTTAACGGTAACTACCTTTAATATTTCTAATGTAACTATTTTAACGGTACCTACCCTTAATATTTAAATCGTAGTCACCGTGCTTTGTGTCAAGTAAACAAGACAACACTGAACGTGAATGTACTGACTATGTCTAGTCGTTCTTTTATCTCTTAACAACAATGGTATTTTAAGTCGTGTGTTCCGTGTGTGTTCATAGACTTACAACAGTCTGCCAAGTCTTTTCATTGGTAAAATATTATTCATAACATTTTTTATAGCCCTTATGTCAACACCACGGAGAGAGAGAGAGAGAGAGAGGTGGGGGAGAGAGAGAGAAACCTCCCCTTCCTTAAACATAGTGCAGCTTTCACCCATATAGCCATCTCCCCCTCACACAGCAGCCACCTTATTCACACATTTTGACTCCCCTCACATAATTAGAGGCCATCCCCCTCCCACACATTGCCACCTCCTCCACATAGAGGCCACCCCCTCCATATAGACGCCACCCTCCCTCCCCCTACACACACACTTAACAGCCACACCTATCTACCCAAACAGACCTCAGTCTATTAATGACCCACTATCCCAGAAAGCCTGGCCTGTCTCACTCTCCCCTAAGACCCTTCTGATGACGTTTGGGATATCCCTGGGCCTGGTATTGTATATCTGCCGGATTATCTGTGTATCTGCGGCTCATCCCGAACCTGTCCTTACCCGCACGTATCTCCTGCACCCAGGTGTGATAATTCAGGTATCATTTCACCCCCAACAAAACATTGATGGAGCGCCAGAGCTATCGTGGGTAGCCGTGTCGTTGTCTCGTGAGTCGATTCCACCGACCGGATCTACTTCAAACACCCATCTACTTTACACCCTCGTTAAACACGTCTGTAGCTACACCCGCTACTCCACCAACTAGACAGCTACCAGCTGCCGATCACGGCCGTTAAAGTATAGACATTTTATGACGCTGTAAACGCTGGCTTCGTGCTTTACCGCCCTCGTAAAAATTTGTATGCTCGGGTTTTTTTTTTTTTTTAAACGGTCCGCGGTGTTTTCTTACGTGTATAGATTTGGCCACTCACGTAATCTTTGACTTTCTCGTGGGTTTGATGAGTGGAATGTTTACAGCCTCGCTTGACGGGATACTTCAGAGGGAGGAAATCTTGGGCGAGTTTTTGGTCGTTTGGGGGGGGGGGGGGGGGGGAATGTAGATGGGTCGTACTTGTTGGGTGGTTCAAGTTGTTTTTATAGTGCGTGTCATTAAATGTTCTAGTTGTCTGTGCAAGTCTAGTTGTTGGGTAGTTGCAATCGTGTTTGTAATCTTTTTGTTGGGTATGTCTAATCAATGGTGTATATGTGTTGGGTTGGTCCATTAACTATACGGAATAATTGTATTAATTATAATATAATCACCGACTATCGTGATATCTAACTGTAACACCGTGACGTCAAAAAAAATGTCGTGATATTTAACTATAACACCGTGACCGTTTACAAAGGACAATTGACACGTGACTTTGTTCCGTGACAAAAGACCCATACAAAAATGTTCCGTCAAATATCTGTGCGCATTATTTGCTCCATATCCACCCCCACCCCCCTCGTATTTCTTTGAAGTTTTGGTGTTAACGCCCAAAAAAAAGTAATGATTCCTCTTTAGACCTAGCGATCCATTCGTGACTTTCGGACTGGCAGCCAAACGCTTTACCCTAAGACCACGCCGTCCCACCAAAAAAACAATAACCCTGGGGTAAATTGTTAAGATTCTCATTTAACAGCGCCTGTTTTTTTGACAGCGTTTTATGACAATATACAATGTAAACCACATAACTCAATATTTAATTACCATATGTTGTATGTTCGTCATATGACCCAACAATAAATGACCATATGTTGTATGTCCGTCATGACCTATCATTTAATGACCATATGTTGTATGTCCGTCATATGACCCAACAATAAATGACCATATGTTGTATGTCCGTCATATGACCCAACAATAAATGACCATATGTTGTATGTCCGTCATATGACCCAACAATAAATGACCATATGTTGTATGTCCGTCATGACCTATCATTTAATGACCATATGTTGTATGTCCGTCATATGACCCAACAATAAATGACCATATGTTGTATGTCCGTCATGACCTATCATTTAATGACCATATGTTGTATGTCCGTCATATGACCCAGCACTAAATGACCATATGTTCTACGTCCGTCATATGACTCAGCATTAAGTGACTATATGTTGTACGTCCGTCATATGACCCAACATTAAGTGGCCATATATTGTATGTCCGTCATATAACCCAACATTACGTGACCATATGTTGTATGTCCGTCATATAACCCAATATTAAATGACCATATGTTATACGTCCGTCATATGACCCAACATTAAGTGACCATATGTTGTATGTCCGTCAGATGACGACCCCATCTCAGACGTTGTTGCCTGCATCCAACAAAAGCTCGAGACAGGTCTGAAACAGGGCAACAAACAAGCCAGACGGGTGGCGATCCAGCACCTCCACAAGACTAAAGAGCTCAAGGTCAAGTGTGAGTTTGGTGGCGAGAAGAGGTAAACACCGCTTGCTTTCTGTCTGCTGTGGGGTGTCTGTTGTGGGGTGTCTGCTGTGGGGTGTCTGCTGTGGGGTGTCTGCTGTGGGGTGTCTGCTGTGGGGTGTCTGTCGTATGGTAACGAGAAGAGGTAAACACCGCTTGCTTTCTGTCTGCTGTGGGGTGTCTGTTGTGGGGTGTCTGTTGTGGGGTGTCTGCTGTGGGGTGTCTGCTGTGGGGTGTCTGTCGTATGGTAACGAGAAGAGGTAAACACCGCTTGCTTTCTGTCTGCTGTGGGGTGTCTGTTGTGGGGTGTCTGTTGTGGGGTGTCTGTTGTGGGGTGTCTGCTGTGGGGTGTCTGCTGTGGGGTGTCTGTCGTATGGTAACGAGAAGAGGTAAACACCGCTTGCTTTCTCTCTGGTGTGGGGTGTCTGTCTGTGGGGTGTCTGTCCGTTGTGGGGTGTCTGTCCGTTGTGGGGTGTCTAGTGTGGGGTGTCTACTGTGGGGTGTCTGTCTGCTGTGGGGTGTCTGTCTGCTGTGGGGTGTCTGTTGTGGGGTGTCTGTTGTGGGGTGTCTGTTGTGGGGTGTCTGCTGTGGGGTGTCTGTTGTGGGGTGTCTGCTGTGGGGTGTCTGCTGTGGGGTGTCTGTCGTATGGTAACGAGAAGAGGTAAACACCGCTTGCTTTCTCTCTGGTGTGGCGTGTCTGTCTGTGGGGTGTCTGTCCGTTGTGGGGTGTCTGTCCGTTGTGGGGTGTCTGTCTGTTGTGTGGTGTCTAGTGTGGGGTGTCTACTGTGGGGTGTCTGTCTGCTGTGGGGTGTCTGTCTGCTGTGGGGTGTCTGTCTTGGGGTGTCTTTCGTGTGGTAATAAGAGGTAAACACGTTTTACTTTTTCTTGTGTAGGGTGTGTGGTGTCTGTTGTAGTGTATCTGGAGTGTCGTCTATTTGTGGTATCTCTAATTGTGGTATCTCATGCCGTATATAAGAGTTGTGTTGTGTTAGACGTGTTGTGCAACATTGTCATGATTGGTGTTGGGTTTGTTCGTGTGTTGTGTAAATTGTATGATGTGTTGTGTAAGATGTGTGTTGTCTGATTGTGTCAAGAGTGTAGACTAGCAGTTTCCTAGCTGGGACTGTCGACTAGTGCAAGAGAAGTCGCCAGAACTTTAATAGAAATATAATATATACATTATAACTAATATCAAATAATTAATTTAATAATATATTTTACTTTATTATTTATTAAGTTTAGACACAGGCAATGTTTAAAAAAATATAAAACTTTTTTTACATTCAACACTATTATCTATTTGTTACTTCCCATGTATGAATTTGAAATAACCAAGGGAAACAATTTAAAACAATCCCAAAAAATCGTTAAAATTATAAGATCCTCAATTGTAAATGTAATGGGAATTCGTTTTTGTGGTCACCAATATTGCAATAACGGACAGTAAAAATTGTATATGACTATTTATACATCTTTTATTTTACAATTATTATTTGCCTCTTATTTGAAATCCCAAACCGTAACTAAAATAAATTCACAATTTATAGTTATGTAACTAATTTAGTATGAGCAGCGATATATCATCTCCGGTTGTCACGTTTTTTTTAAAATAAATAAACCGGGAGTGATCTCCCCTAAACTTTCTCGAATATTCTTTTATAACTCTGAATATAGACATGATTTTTAATTACTTAAACTTTTAAAAATAGAATAGAATCTCGTAGAAAAAAGAATTGCGCACCAAGCGAACGCCAAAAGAAAATGTGCATAATAGTTCGCAATATTATTAGTACTTTATATATATATATATATATATATATATATATATATATATATATATATATATATATATATATATATATATATATATATACTTATATATATATACATACTTTTAATCACATTCTAAATGGTGCCCTCCCATCCGTATATACAGCCAAGGTTTGTTAAAACGGTGGCCGAATGTTCTATTCACATTCTAAATGGTGCCCTCCCATCCGTATATACAGCCAAGGTTTGTTCAAACGGTGGCCGAAAGTTCTATTCACATTCTAAATGGTGCCCCCCCCCCCCTCCCATCCGTATATACAGCCAAGGTTTGTTAAAACGGTGGCCGCAAGTTTTATTCACATTCTAAATGGTGCCCCCCCCCCCATCCGTATATACAGCCAAGGTTTGTTAAAACGGTGACCGAAAGTTTAATTCACATTCTAAATGGTGCCCTCCCATCCGTATATACAGCCAATGTTTGTTAAAACGGTGGCCGAAAGTTTTATTCACATTCTAAATGGTGCCCCCCCCCCATCCGTATATACAGCCAATGTTTGTTAAAACGGTGGCCGAAAGTTTTATTCACATTCTAAATGGTGCCCCCCCCCCCCCCCCCCATCCGTATATACAGCCGATGTGTGGACAACGTTTCGCCGTCCCTTCTCTAGACAAACGCCAGCGGTTGTATTTTTTTGACCGCAGATCGAATCCCGATCATCAGAGACAGGTCGTGTTGTTCTAGCAAACACACCACCACTCCTCCACTCCCCCGCCCCCATGTTGTAGCTAATCTTTGACAAGCCGGAAACTTGTACACTTCACTTGGAGATTAGTGTGACGTAATATAACTTCCACCCTTCCGCTAACTGCTCTTCAGTCATCAGAAGGTCAAAGTTCACTAGGGCTGCCAACAGCTGTACTAAGTCACCCGTTTAAAGCTAGGGTTCATGATGCATGAAAATAAGAGTTCAATGTAACATGGTCAGTTTTATGCCTAACAGCCGTTACTTTCCGTAACGTGAGTCAAGTATCCAATTTAGCCAATAGCAGTCCTTGAATAAAATGGGTAGTGTAGTCAATGAGTATAACCAAAAATAATGATTTATTTGACCTTTACAACCTTTGACCTATGTCTGGTTTGGAGAAGAGGAGGCGGGGGTAGCCCTCTTTATGTCATACCTGGTACTTTATCTCCGCCTTTAACACCCCGGCCCTCTACACATCAACAACCCAATAGTCATGTACCAACACGATCATCATCCGCCCTCACCACACTTTCCAGCACAGTCCATTTATAGGGGTGTGATTTTCATGTTGCTTTGTTAACGTAAGATATGCTTTTCATTTGGCTAGTCGAAATGATAACCATACTCTAATTTTTTTATTTAAAAAAACAAACAAACAAAAAACGGTAGAATAAGAGAAATAATGCGTACAGGTTTCGTTTTTCCTGGGTTTTTTTTTTTCTTATTTATATTTTTCGGGACATGCGAGGTTTTTTTTTTCAATGTACAGCACTCGTCTTAAATAACACAGTCCAACGGTTGCAAGACGTCATATCAAAGGAGACAGTTCGTTCGTCGAGCCGTTTGATGCTCAGGCTCTGGCTTTGTTTTGATAACTTGCCCACTGCAATCGTGCACCTGTCTGTTACTTCACAAGCTACACGGCACACCTCACACCCACGCCAACAAAAAGTTGTAATCTCACACGTTACACCACCACACTAACAAAAGTTTTAATCTCAAACTTTAACGTCGTTGGTCAACAAAAAATTAACATGATCTAAAATGTCTAACAGTTTATACATATTTTTAAAATTTTTGTCTATCTGTATCCGTCTTTTGTCTGTTTTTGTCTATCAGAATGGTAACCGTCTTATGTCTGTTTTGTCTATCAGAATGGTAACCGTCTGTTTTTTGTCTATCAGAATGGTAACCGTCCCTAGACCAGTCAAGTACCCGGACCTGGTGAGAAAGCTGCAGGAACTGTTCAAGATTTTGTTAAATATATTTTATACTCAGAGCAACGGAGAGGTGAGTGTATCAACCACTTCTTCTCTAACTCACGTGCTTTTGACGCCAGACCGTTGACCCTGCCCTCCAATCCGCGATCACGTGACCAGGTTTCCTGCACGTTTTGCCGGCATCTTGTATTAAAAGCGTGCGTGTAGACCGGCAACGTAATCCGCTAGTTTAGACAGACAAAAAAAAAGCTACAAAAGCTGTCTGGCTATGCTGGGAGAGTGTGTGGAATACTTTCCCACCCGCCCCCGGTGGGCACACGGGGTTGTTGTACAGTCACGTGGTCGGGTGAGCTGCTACAACAAACGGCTACACTCCATGACGTGACGTCATGGGAACCAAGCTCGCGCTCTCTGTGACGTGACATTAGAAAGTTGTGTGACGTCATACATGTCTAGCTTACATGGCGCTGGTAAAAAAATTACTCACCCGTTGTGGTTTGTCATGGACGTGAAACGCGTACCCTTAACTCTATGACTGTGACGTGACTCTCGCAAGGGTTACTCACTATTACGTGACATCATTTTTCTCTCCACTGAAGCAGCATTACTCACTAGTACATGAAGTCATGGTAGCGAAACTTGCGCCACTAACCTCCCAACACTGGAGAGTGATCAGAAATCGATATTGCCATACCCCCCCCCCCTATCCCACTTGCCTCTATCCTTTTATCCTTTTATAAGCCAAGCCCTAACGTTAATAGAAACCTGCATTAAACAGGACGTAAAACAAGCTCTATAAAGTACTGCGTTTCTAAAATACATTTACCTCCCTTCTTCCCCCCTTTCCCCCCAATATTTTTATGAAAGCCTTCCCATGTAAGCTGATGAATCATTGTCTGCTGTTTTACCATGCTACTGTGTGGTGTTGTTTTCCTTTCAGATGTACATTCCCTTAAAAAATCAGGCAGAACTCGACGCAGTCTTGCGGCTGTTAGACCAAAACGAGCACTCGACCAGCTTACGACTTTACCTCACCCCGGCTGTCGCGGGAACAGAGCCCTCCAGCACGCAGTCGCATTCGACAGTAGCGCCTGTAAGTTCTTCTAATCTCTACTTTTTTAAAACTGTATTTTATAAATGTTATGATGTGTGTGATAGGTCTGCTCGTATAACACTAAGCACCGTATCGACACACGAGTTATATCAGGGTATCGAATCATCACGTGTCAAAATGTATACCATTTCCTGAAATGTATACCTTTCCCTGGAATGTAAAACTACATGATCCTCGTATGATTTTTTAAACAGCGTATTAAGTGAAACAGTTTTGTCAAGCTTTCGATTAGTTTTTTTTTTTTTTTTGAATAATGAGATGAAGGTTTCAGCATGTTTTTAGATTACTGTCACCTATGTGAGATATCTGGAACTCGATCTAAGGCTCGAAGAATGACGTATCCGTGACCAGTGAACTAGTCTACCCTCTCTCGTGTCATTGTGTTGGTGGAGCTTAATCTTTCCTCCATCCCGGTGTTTCACTCCGTGCTACCGCCCCTCCACCCCGGGTGGTGGGTGTGGTGACAGTTGCCGCCGTGTTCTGACGTTTATGTAACGTTTATGTAACTCGATAGAAGTCATCGGGACATGTAAAACGTCAAGGTGAAAGATTGAAGCTAATGTTACTCTTGGCTTAGCCGTACCTAATCATGAAGGGTTATAACAGGCTACAACGATAGTATATTTAAGTGATATATTGTGGCATAGCTAGATAAGGACATTGATCGCTTACATACATTATATTACTTGTCTAAATGCGTGAAAATTTGGTGTATGTTCTGAGTCTAAAAGCTTACTTATGTGAGAACTTGGGGTATTGTTTTTTTATAGCGGTGGGTAAGGGGAGACGCTTCTGGATTCTTTTGTCTCAGTTAACAAAACAAACAAAAAATAATGGTGAAGGCAGTGGCGTCACTCAAGGGGGCGTTCCGGTTAAGATGACATTTGACATCATGAAAACAAATCTCACAACAGGAGGTGGAATACTGTTAGCAAAAAAAACCACACGGTTAAAAACTGTTTAAAACGCCCGCTAGCGCAGGGCTCCAACTTAGTGCATCCTTTTAAAAATAAAACAACGAAGTTTTGGTCCATTGTGTATGCATGAGCTAATTCAAGGTCACGTGGTTTCATGTATTTTTACATCATGGGGTTCCCAGCCTTTTTTTTTACTTACTTTTAAAAATATTTTTTTTTTGTATTGCGAAATACTGAGTCATCGTTGAAGTGCGGGGGCTGATTGGTTAAATTTATTGTCGACGCAGTGGTAGGTGATATTCAGATTCATCCGGGGGCGGGGGTGATATTTCGAGTCTCAGCGTACCGTTGTGTACTACATCCATAGCACCAACACACTAAACTCACATCCATAGCACCAACACACTGAACTCACATCCATAGCACCAACACACTGAACTCACATCCATAGCACCAACACACTGAACTCACATCCATAGCACCAACACACTGAACTCACATCCATACCACCAACACACTGAACTCACATTTTATAGCACCAACACACTGAACTCACATCCATAGCACCAACACACTGAACTCACATCCATAGCACCAACACACTGAACTCACATTCATAGCACCAACACACTGAACTCACATCCATAGCACCAACACACTGAACTCACATCCATAGCACCAACACACTGAACTCACATCCATACCACCAACACACTGAACTCACATTCATAGCACCAACACACTGAACTCATATATTACATTCATAACACTAACACATTAAAGACTCACATTGCATTCATAACACCAACACTTTACGTACTCACATAAGAATACTTCACACACTTCTCTCTCTCACACGCACATACAACCATTGTACACAAACACACACACACTCACACACCTTTGGAGGCACTCCGACATTTACTTTACGTTTCCAGCTCTCCAAAGTACCACAAGCACTTATATCACAAACACTCAAAGTCACTTTTCCACCATCTCCTGTTATTTAACACCCCCTCCCCACTCCAGTTAGACTTGTCCCGTGGCAGTGTTGTTAGCATTAGTTAAAGGGGACTTGATTCTGTCCAACTTTGAGTGGAAGGGGTGTCAGAATGACGAGAAGGACTCGTGTATAATAGTAGAAAACGAGGGGCTGGCGAGGGTTCTGACATTTAAATTGTTTCCATTTGCTGAGCATTTTGTTCCTGGCATCTTCATGTAATAATGGATAGGCTGGATGCACGGGGCTAATGTACCAAATTGTTAGGTAGATGAACACGGAGATTGTCAAATGTATCTATTTCGGGCTTTGTTCCGTATAGTACATCCCATCAAAAAATACATTGGTTGCAACATTATTTTCATTTACATATGCGTTTTATCTTCATCTAATGTCATTTGCTTTTCTTCTAAATTTTGGCAAAAACAATGATCCAAGATAATAATTGTAAGCGCGAATGTACAATGCACATCGTGGGTAATCAAGTCCACTCCTGAAGTCTGTGACCCAGTGTCATGCGCACATATTAGCACCAGACAAAAACCTACCCAGTGTCATGCACACATATTAGTACCAGACAAAAACCTACCCAGTGTCATGCGCACATATTAGCACCAGACAAAAACCTACCCAGTGTCATGCGCACATATTAGCACCAGACAAAAACCTACCCAGTGTCATGTGCACATATTAGCACCAGACAAAAACGCGCACATATTAGCACCAGACAAAAGCCTATGCCACACATACTCTGTTCACACCTTCCTATACGACTTATCACTCTGTCCGCTCGCCGAGTTCCCAAGTTGCCGATTTGTGCATTACGGGCAGCCAAACCAGATTAGATAAGATTTTATGAAGTCCTGAAACGCACCTCATTCTTGAGGTAATATCCGGATTATGCGTTGTTTATTTAACGTACAGTTTGTCTTCTGGTCCGGTAATTATTTTCTGGTTCGACGGTCTTTGGCTGGTCCGGCAATATTTTGTTGATCCGACAGCCTTTGGCTGTTCCGGCAGTCTTTGGCTGATCCATCAATCTGATTGGTCAGGCAATCTTACGTTGGTCCGGCAGTCTTTGACTGGTCCGGCAATCTTTTGTTCGTCCGGCAGTATTTGGGTGTTCCGGCAATCTTTGACTGGCCCGGCATTCTTCGTCTGTTCATGCAATTGCTGTCCAGTCCGGCAATCAATAGTTTTGATTAAACTAACCAACATCGTAAATCCCATGTAGCGCGCTGTATTCCATTAAATCTATCACCAGTTGATAGTTTTGGTTATACTAAACAACACAGTAAACCCCATGTAGCCTAGCTAGCTGTACTCCAGTAAATCTATCATCAGTTGATAGTTTTTTTTATACTAAACAACACAGTAACCCCATGTAGCCTAGCTAGCTGTACTCCAGTAAATCTATCACCAGTTGATAGTTTTGGTTATACTAACCAACACAGTAAACCCCATGTAGCCTAGCTGTACTCCAGTAAATCTATCACCAGTTGATGTGGTTATGTAGTAGAGCAGCTCTTACAGTTTCGAGGCTCGCCTGTAGCATGTAGTGAAAGTGCTGGGGGAATATTTAACTAGCGCTGTTGAGCCTGGAGTGGGGGACATAGGGACCGCTCTAGACGGCGGGCATCCAATTAATGAACTCACTTATGTCATCGTTTTAACTTGTTTGGACTAGGGGGAATTGTTTTTTTTTTAGACCCTCGGGTAGGACTCGGGGGATTGCAGAGGTGTCCTTTGCCTTGTGTCCGTTGTAGATGTGACCTGTGTCAGTTGTAGATGTGACCTGTGTCAGTTGTAGATGTGTCCTGTGTCAGTTGTAGATGTGACCTGTGTCAGTTGTAGATGTGTCCTGTGTCAGTTGTAGATGTGACCTGTGTCAGTTGTAGATGTGTCCTGTGTCAGTTGTAGATGTGTCCTGTGTCAGTTGTAGATGTGTCCTGTGTCAGTTGTCGGTGTGTCCTGTGTCAGTTGTCGGTGTGTCCTGTGTCAGTTGTAGATGTGTTCTGTGTCAGTTGTAGATGTGTTGTGTCAGTTGTCGGTGTGTCCTGTGTCAGTTGTAGATGTGTCCTGTGTCAGTTGTAGATGTGTTCTGTGTCAGTTGTAGATGTGTCTGGTGTAACTGATGTAACTGCGTCTCAAGCCATTGGGTACAGTTGTAGATGTGTCAGTTGTAGATGTGTCTTATGGCTGGTGTCAGTTATAGAATGAACGTAGCAAACATTTCTGCAGGTAATTTATGAGTATGTGTGTTGGGAGGGGGTGGTGTGGGTGTAGACTTGTACAATGACAGCGTTACTCAACGCTTGAGCCAGCTGGGAAGTTTTGATACATTGTTTCCACTCTAAGCCCATTCTCTGGGGGAATTGAAGTAATCAACTCTGTTGATAAGCTTGATACAACTTTGTGGAGTAAACAGTCGAGCAATGATAGAACCAAATCACCCACCACCACCTCTAACTGGGTTAACAGACGTGACTTATCTCCCCTGTCATCTCGTGTATCCGCCGAGGATACGACGAGGGCGAATATGACCAACTAACGGTGGCCCTCTAGACGAGCACTACGACGGCCTGGCTTTGTATATTCCGTGACGATATGGGAGATTGCATCCACGTGTACACCGGTAGCCGGCCGGCAGAGACCGGAATGCAAACCGTACAGCAGATGAAACATGTACAGCCGAGGACCCCCGGAGCCGGTGCTATTTGTACACGGATCTCTCTTGTTTATTTAACTGCTGGATTTTGTTGCACGTGCCGCCATTAGGTGGCCTCATTACCACGTGCTATCTTATGCGCAGCCGCCTCAGCTCGGTTCAAAAACTTGCGCACCGTTGATGCAATCTTTAGAAACTGATGCGCACCATTTATACAATCTTTAGAAACTGATGCGCACCATTAATACAATCTTTAGAACCTGATGCGCACAGTTGATGCAATCAAAAACTGATGCAGAAAACTATTAAGCTCAAAATAAACAGATTCCACTCTAAAGATATGAGGCAGGTGGTTGTTGATTCTACGATTGTGCTGTGTGTACAATGGCCAATA